CTCTCTCTCTCTCTCTCTCTCTCTCTCTCTCTCTCTCTCTCTCTCTTTCATTCGTCGATTCGTACCTGCAATTATTTCGTATCGTCTTACGCGTTTCCTGAGAATCGAAATTCGAAAGGGATGAGAATGTTCGATCAACCCTCTTTCCATGTTCTGTCGTCACGTAAGGTGAAAACGATACGACAAAAGTCGACGAATCTGACAACTTTTAAAAGTCCATCACTTCCATTTTGAACGGTTTACCCTGAAGTTTGTTAGGGACGATCTTCGTTATCGGCGGGGCACTGTTGTTGTCGTCATCGCTGTTCACGTCTTCGTCCTCCTCGGGAAAATCTTCGAGGCGATCGTGATACTCGTCCAACTGAAAATCAATCGTTATTTTCGTTAACTTATACATGTACAGCCGTTGACAAGCCGTGAACAAAATCGTGAAGGAACAATCAGAGCTAAGGCTATGCGTGATCATTTGTGATAGACCAGATCAACACGTGTGTTTCTTTATCGGTGAAAATGCGGTGCTCGTGAGTTATCAAGCGAGAAAGCTTTTTTTTGCCCGGTGAACTCGAGTGTCCAGATTTCTTCTTTTTCTCTTTTTTTCTTTTTTTTTTCTTCGCGGATAACATGCCAATTTGAAAATCGATAAAAATTTTCGCCAAGATCACGGAGAAGGTTGGCAAGCCTTTCCACGTTTCCCTTCGTTTCTCCCTCCTCGAACATGGATCATCGAAGATTCGCGAATGGTGCAAAGCGCGTAGGATAATATATCAAGCTAAGAGCATTCCATAAACGATATAATATACTACGGACTCACGTGTAAGGTAGCTATGGAAGAAGCGATTAATCGACGTTACCGCACACAGAACGGACGCTTTCCTATAACTGCAGGTACGTCCAACGTAAATCTTAAATTCTCTCGTTCTTAAGGCTTAATCGACGCACTTTGAGTAAACGTAATTCTTCTTCCCACCTGAGACTCGCTCTAATCACGGGCAATCGTGACATGTCTCTCTCTCTCTCTCTCTCTCGGTGCGCCAATTAAGTTGTCCTTCTATTACGATGACTACGTCTCTACGTTGTCTAAACAAGCATATATGAACGTGCCTCGCGTGTTTTATCCGTATAAATTGGCTTAAAATTGATGATAAGAAACGATACGACGAATGACACAAATCCTATGTAGATTTGCGAAGGTAAGATGATTTTTTTTTTGACTCGAGATTATTTTGTTTGCCGAGCGTTTGAATTAGAAGTTTCCCTTTCTATTGTTGTAAGTGTTACAGAAAACAATAAATAAAAGAAGCACATTGATGCAAATGCGCGTGTCAAGTTAAGTTAAGGATGGATGGAACGATGGAAGAACAAAGAGGATCGAAAGTCGTGAGTGAAAGTTTTCTTTCTTTTTTTTTTTCCTTTTTTATCTACTCACATCGACATCTCCCATCATTTCTTTTGTAGAAACGGTGGTATCGATACGTCGTATGCTGCCTTGGTGAATGTCAACGTCCAACTTGACGCATTGGAACCGCCTCAAAAGGAATACAATCGGTATTGGCGCGATGCCCGCAAAAATGATGACGACCGCTATAGCCAACACCCAGCCGGGATACGCGGTGGGTACAGCTATGCCCTGAAAACAAAGGAAGGAAAAAAAGAAAGGAAGAAATGTCGAGGTCGTGACGTAGGTATTTTGGCAACGAGATATATGGGTCACGAGATAATATTTTCCACTACTCACCCGTGACGCATCCCACGCGGAATATTGAGGCTTCTTCACAACCATGGAGATTATACTGGAGACAAGGATGCAGACCATGATTATGGGAGCGAGAAATCGCCAGGTGAATTGCCAATACACTCCTGGTCTGTATCCTGTCATCTCCTCGATATCTTTCGTGAATCTGAGAAAGAAAATCGGAAAAGGATTTCTCTCAATTCTATCTTGAATCGTTTATTTGAACGAAAGAGATTAGATAATATTTCGATCTTACTTTTCGTGACCATAAACAAAGATGACGGAAATCATTTCCATGAGCGCGACCATCACGAGACCGATGGTACCTGCGAAACTGTCGAACATCTTTAGCCAATATTCTCCGGCTCCGGTACAGAATATTAAACCAACAAAGAAGCACACCGTGCAAACTACCCCTAAGAAAAAAAGGATCGTTTAACACCATTGAAAATGTTTTTAACGTTTTTAACCCCTCCTTTCTTTTATACCTTTCTATCGCGACAAAAAAATACACCCGATGGATCGTCCTACCTGTCATGTATTGCTTTTTTATTCTCTTGAACAGATCTATGTCGAAGATGACGCACAGCATGCCCTCTAGTATACCGATTTGGGAACCGAGACCGAGGGCTAGAAGCATCAGAAAGAAAATACAGGACCAGAAAGGAGCGCCTGGTAGCTCGACTATCGCCTGCGTAAACACTATGAAAGCTAATCCCGTTCCTTCGGCAGCCTGAAATCGATTTTCTTGTTTAAAAATAATTATATAAAAGAAAATTAGAAAGAAAATATTAATATAATTACGTTGTCCAATTGTTCGCTCAGGCTACATGTTTCAAGGGTGAAATTCATTTTTGTTACATTGAGATTATTTACAATATCTTTGTATCTCTCCATGGTGGTGTTTTGATAGGCAAATCCGTGTTCAACGAGTAAGTCTTTATTACTGGAACAGAAGGGAAATCAAAGTTGACAACGATGATTAACACTTTTGGATATTTTTCTTTTTTTTTATTATTATATCCATCATATTGATTTGAAAAACAGTTTACCCTGCGAGGCACTTATCGACATTTGTCATCGCCTTAAAGCCTAGAATGGCGAATATCACTATACTCGCGTAAATTGCGGTGAAGGCGTTGCAACAGCTAACCAGAATCACGTCCCGGACGCAGTGGTTGTCTGGAGTGTTGTAAGATCCGAACGCGATCAGGGAGCCGAACGCTAGTCCGAAACTATAAAAAACTTGCGTCGCTGCGTCGAGCCAGACCGTCGGCTCTAACAGCTTCTCGATCTGTCGATAAAAAAGGGAACGTTTTTTCTGTCACACTAAGGCGCAAAAAATCTCGTGGGAAAAGAAAGAAGAAAAAGTGAATTTACCTTTGGCGTGTACATGTGGGCCAATCCAGCGCTGGCACCTTTTAACGTTATTCCACGAATAAAAAAGATAGTAAGCACCAAATACGGGAACATGGATGTAAAATATACCACCTTTAAATCAAGCAGAAACAAAAGAATCATGTATTATATTAATATTAATATTATTCGATTTCGACAATTTTGCTCGAACGAAACAGAAAAAAGATGCAGATCTCTCTTCCTCAGGAAAAAGAACAAAACGGATGAGGATTTTTTTTTTTTTTTACATTTTTCATTCTTACCTTCCCCGATGATTGTATTCCTTTCATCACGATAAAAAAGACGACGATCCAACTCAACAGTAGACAAAGGACGATCCACCATTTCAGACCGCTCGATCCTTCCTCGATCGAGGGTGCCGCGTCCAGAGTGGTTCTGTACCAAAAATAGGCAGTTTCCGAACTCTTCACGCATTCCTCTACCGGCTTCCCATCAACCTCCGGACATTTCGCCCATGGTAACGGTTCCTAACGATTCAATCATATCGTATGATCGTTCAATGTCAAATTCGTTTATATCGCGTTATAAGCGGAAAATACAGATGCA